AAGGTAGGTGTGGTTGTTAAATCCATTCTACCTAACGAACATAATTAGCACCTCTTTGATAATGCCAGAAAACCTTTGGTAGATGATCTTACACAATTTTCAGTGCTATGTTTGTGATGGTGGTCTTTCGACATGGCTCAGGTCCTTGTGTCCTAGTGAAGTTTTTCAGTTATCTCACCAATAGCTTAAATATTTGGGTAAGTTAGTTATGGAATATTGAATGATAGTAACACTGTCGTATTTTCAAGGAATAATGATAACTACACTCCTGTTTCTTACACTACTTCTACACTACAAGAGAGAGAAGTGTGGGCTCCCTTGATGAGTCATCAATCTTGAAAAAGTTGAAGAGAAATGGACCCCACACTTTTCTCTCTTGTAATGTTAATTTGCTCAATTATTCTTTGCCTTTCTCACAGAAAATGTGTTCTGTTTACAGCCCTTGGATCCTATAGTATAGAACGAGGCCTAAGATAATATCAAGATATAATCCTTTACATGTCACAGCTTCCAGCTTGGATCAGAAGAAGTGCATGCATCATTAGTTCAAAAGCAACACATTGGGAAAACTATGGGGTGTGTATGTGTGTCCATGTTCTTGATTGGTTCTTATTTCAAGATTTACACATTGTGTATTGTTATTTGTTTTTGGTTTAAATCTGCATGCTCTGAAGTGGTTTGTATTTTAAAAATATCTAAAGTATGAAAATGTGTTTTCATGTATGTGATTGCTACATTCATGACTGGTTCTTTTCAAATTACCGATCTATAAAAAAGAAATGTTTGCAATGGCCATGTATCATAATATTGCAGAAACCCCATTTGAGAAGCCACCTACAAGGTTTAATATAAACTGACATGCCAACTACATACATTAATCCCTCCCACGTTGGAGGTAGTTTATTCTTGTGTGCTTATTTCAAAACTCTCAATGCACAAAATTGAAGTATACAAAATCCGGTAAAGTTTCATCACTTCACCTCCTAATTCTTTTATTGTGCAGTGCATGCCCAGAAAAGATTGCCGAGTTCATGGAGAAGAAACTTGAAGGAAAGAAGAAACAAAATCGAAGGCCAAGGCCAGAGAAATCAACCAAAACCGATGTAAGAGAAGTTGATCTCCAGCTTAAGAGCTTAACGCTGAGCACAGAATCAGATAGCAGTATCATCACTAATACGATGAAGTCTCAAGAACTGAAAAGTCTACACAATGCTAAGCAATCTGAGGCATTCATTGATCTTTCAAGTCCATCTCCACCTCTGCGTGCATGTAAACTTGCCAAGCACATAAATATTGATAAAGTATCTGATATAATTGATATATGTGAACCAGAGACTGGAAATAAAGATAAATATGTGGATGTAATTGATATATGTGAGTCAGAGAGTGAGGCTTCTCCTGAACATGAGAAGAAGGCTAAGGAGTTGAGATTATTTATAAACAGTATTCGGAGAGAACTTTACTAGACTAGACGACTTTCGGAGATTTGGGAGAATGTCTATTCCTGTAGTGTAGTGGTAAGTTGCATTTTTGTACAGTTTTCATGTGTTCATGCATGGTTTACTAACGAGTGAATAAAAGCAGTGTTTGTGAGTTCCTTTTATCTCCTTGTGTTATTATTTTTGTTTCCTTGTCTTTGATCGCTCAGAAAACTTAAATGGGAGATCAAAAGTGTGCATTGAGGCTTGAAGCATGTAGCTTAAGTAAATTCCGTGTGCCATGTGGTGGTGTTTAAGAGCTATGGTTGCCCTCCAAACATAGTTCATTTCTGACTATTGATCCAATATGGAAGACGAAAAATTCATACCTTCGATTTATGCTTCAGCTTGTTTACAAATGTTAGATGTGCTTACTTTACAATGTACAAAAATATATCCACACGAAAACAGTTTTGTTGAATTTTATGAATATACGCATGTTGCTCGAGGCTGACAAGTAATTGGCGTGTTGATGATTCTTGAAGCAAATTCATATATTTCCGAAAAGCGTGGTAAGCTACAATTTCCAGTTTTCAATCATATAAATGCCCCAGACATGAAAGATCTGTGCTGGCCAAGCACTGAATTAAACCCAAATTGACCATCTTTAGGACCTTTGTTAGTAAACAAAAATAAACTTAAATAATTATCCCTCAAAAGCCAACTAAGGTCAAATTGGGGATAAAAGACATTCTGAATTGGGTTAATGACATAGACTAATATACTTTCGAACATTACCATAGTCAATATACAAACTGTTGAAGACATATACTAGCCCGCCCTCCATATATAAAACCAAAACAAAATATGAAAGAAAGATGCTTCCAATATCCAACACCTCAAGAAAGAAAATAATTGGTAGACACATATTTTCATACATTGCCACAGTACAAACAAGAAGCTTTTACAAAGGATTAGAGGGATCTAAACAAAAACAGTTGGATTGAAATCTTGTATTTTCTTTTACAGCCATTCATTCTGCTTTCATAACCGTAGTCTTCCCTGTTCTGGGAGCACTAGCTTCAAACCTAGGAATCGTTTGCAAGTTTCCGCTATTCGACATGTAGAAATAGTTGTAGTTGATTCGAGTAACCAAATCTGCCAGATGCGGGAAATGTCCCACATTCAGTTTGAAAGACAATATCTGCATGCATCAGCATCAAAATTCAGTTATATCACTTCAATCACTCATGCAACCATCAATATTTATGGCTTATTTGCGGATAGACCTCCTGCGCCCAATTGTGGATAAACCCCATGTAGTTCTATTGGCGGATGGAGCCCCTGAGATAACTTTTCTGACTCATTTGAGAGTAAACAAAACATTCATTCACAGGGGGTCTATCCGCACTTGGGAAAATAGTACATGGGGTCTATCCTCACCAATAAAACTACAGGGTCTATCTGCAATTGGCTGATAGTACAGGGGGGTCTATCTCCAATTAGCCCATCCTTATGTATTGGTAAATTCACAAAACAAAAAACCCTGAAACTTTATAAATCATCAGTATTCCCTTAACTTGCCTTAGTATTATAACTAATGGCAGTTAATTTAAGCTGGACAATTATTTCCTTATCTACTAAATGTAAAGTCTATATTACCCTTTTCGGGAGGATAGGTAACAGGCAGTTTTTTGCCCTACCTGCTAATGCCATTTATCAGAATTTCTAAGAGTTTAGGGGGGTTTAGTATGTGTAAAATCCCCAAAAGCTTAGGAGGTTATGTAAAATTCCCTCATAGATGAAACACATAGAAGTTAAGAGAATTGGGTTAGAAGTTACCCTGAGAAGAAATGCAATGCAGTCATCAAACTGCTTCTCGATTCGATCCATTTCAATTTCACATCTAGCTTTGATAGCCGGAGTTGTTCCGCCACTGCCCAGTGTCTGCTCTATTGAGTAGAAATCAAGTGCCAGTCCAAGGATACTCTTTATCCTGCTAGCTATCAATGCCCACTGTAAAAGCAAATAAAATCAAAGTATCAGTCACCATTGTTCTTATTTTTCAGTGAGCTTTTAAACCAACTTCAGTCTACATCTAATCGCAATTCTAGTACTTGAAGAAACATTGTTGCACGGGTGCACAGCGTGATGCAAGTAACTAGTATTTGAAAATATACTTTCCTATTTGTCAAGAAGAATGTATAAATATGAAAATAAAAATTTTGAAATGGAGAAATAAGCATAAATCTGGTGTAGGTGTATTAATAACTATGAACAAACTATGTAAAATTTGTGGACAAATCTATTTTGGTGAGAATTTACCATGCATACTATGACTTGAAATCCCTTATCTATGTGCATCTGTCTGCAAGTCCCTAAGGCATGTTTATTTAATCATGTCATGTAGCACAAAGGGTTAACTGTGGATATACCCCTGGTACTGTCAGCTCCATTGAGGAGAGACCCCCTATAATTCTATTGTTGCAGATAGACCACCTGAGTGAACTTCTTTTGACTCTTTTACCCTCGAGAGTATTTTTTGACAAATAGACCTTCTGAGGGCAGAAGAGCAAAAATTGCACTCAAGGGGCCTATCCACAGTTGGGGGATACAATCGGGGGTCTATCCGCAACATAGAACTACAAGAGGGCTATCCACAATTGGGCGATAGTACAGTGTCTATCTACAAATAACGCTACTATAAATGTATGATACAGGAAATGCAGCACATAAGGCTGTTCACATACATGTGGACTGAACCAAGACCAATATGGTCAACTATGCTAAGTGCATTAAATTTTTTTTAAAGGTGTCACAGAGAATTCCTTGATAACCAATTTTAAAGTAGATATAAATGCCAAGCAAAAGAAAGGCACTTGACCAGTTTATCTGGAGCAACGAAGCACTGGCGCTGAATAGACAAAAGGTAGATGTCATGAACTTCTATGACTTCGTCGAGCGAGCCTGCAGAGGCCATACCAGTGCAGAGATCGATCCAAGCACTGTGATATACCTGCGAAAAAAATTGGAAGGTCACTCCCATGAGTGCAAGATCTTTTACCTGATTTATATTAAAAGGATTAATCGCACATAGATCACCTGTAGTATCCTTGTTTTTCATCTACTACCCTTGCAGTTGCATTGTTGCAAAAAAGATTCCCTGGGTTATTTTTTTTCACTTTTTTTACCCTTGGTGAAACTTTGGCATATATTGCCACTGGTGTCGTTAGTGAGTCTGATGGTAAAAGAATCAAAAGAACATAATCCAGGGGGCCTATGTGCAACAATGAAACTACAGGGGTAGTAAACGCAAACAACGATACTACAGGGAGTCTTTGTGCAATTAACCGATATTAAAATATGTAGATTGTTCCTTACCCTATCCATGACATACTGATGAAATGCATCAACAAAATGGAGAAGTTTCTGCTGCACTAGTAGATGGTGCTTGTAGTTGTGTTTTCCACTGTTTCTTCCCTGTAGATGGAAATGTTTGGTCAAACTAAAAGTTAACTTCAAGAATTAATATGTTTGGTCAAACTAAAAGTTAACTTCAAGAATTATTATGTTTGGTCAAACTAAAAGTTAACTTCAAGAATTAATAATTACGTTTTTTGTTTGTTTGTGTGTTTGTTTCTAGAATCAAGCAGAAAATAGTGATTACTTAAGCAAATGACAGGAAGTTTTAAAAAGAAGACCAAAAGATAATTGGTGACAATAATAAAAATAAATGCTTCTGTTAAATCAATTGTAACATTCATTATGAAATACATTATGGTGTACGGAGGGCACAACAGAAAATGGTTTCCACAAAAATGAATACAAAGAATAAAAATGAGTCCTAAGGATTAAAAAACACATTCTTGTTTATCTTTAAAAAAATCTTTTGGATAAATTCACTAATGTGAGAAGTTTTAGCAATTGTCATGAAAATTTTCTATGCCCCAATGCCCCTCAGTAAAATCCCAATGTTACTGAGAGATTTGAGTCTTCCACATCCATAAGTCATGTGACATCATGTACTGTGTATGCTCTAGCTGACTTATGATGTCGTAAAAGTTGTGTGCCTCAAAGGGGTATCCTGATGTCCAGTAACCTCACTTGTCAGGATGTATGGAATCTATGAATTTATCAATTTCATAAACATAGGACTTACTGTGGAGATTGATTATAACAAGTCTGCATAAATATGAACAAAGTAGAGATTACATGAAATTCTTCCCTATTTCTCAAGAATTTTTTTTATTTGTTAAGCTAAATAAACCAAGGATATATCCAAAAACAAATAACTGATATCACAATAAGTTTCATGTAGAGTAATACTTTCAAAGAAAAGCACCAAGTGCAACATTAATTAAATCAGCAGCCATCAATACAATTTATCCCATAGGAAAGGGTACAACACATGCATCAGATTGTATTATATAACCTGCTCAGAAGGGGGCTGGTGGAAAGGGCTATGATGGTAGTTTCTCAATTAAAAAAAACAGCACAGTGATGACAAAAGAGCGTCTCAAATTTTTTGATGCATATAGTCGAATAACTTAATGAGAAATTCCATCATGTTTCACATTTATTGCCTCAACAACATTCATGAAGTGATGTCCACTAATTATTTATTTATACTAGATCTTTGCTTTGTTGCAATTATTATAATATTGGTTGTAAAAATACCTTCCACATCCACCTCCGAGCTTTGTCAAGAACAAATTTCGCACGCTTGACCTTTAATAGAAAAGCCATGACCTATGCAACAGAAAGAATAAAATAACAGGAAAAGTTCCGGTGAATGACAATAAGAAATATTAGAGGAACTTGTACCTGATTGTACTTCTTAAGTGCCTCTGCATTAGCAATAAGGTCAAGAGGCCATGACACCTACCCAAATGAAATACTTCTAATCAGAAATGAAGAGAATGTTTACGTATCAAACAGCATATATTATGCATATCATACATTGTATGTGAAATTTAGCATATCAAAGGCATCAATGCCAAAAGAATGATTCCAGGCTTTGCAGGGAGTTGTGACATTGTTGGTTGTATTTTCCTCGCTATCAGAAGCATTAAGCTTTGTGATTGACACAACCAAAGAATCCGGTGTGCAAAGTAGCGTACCATCAGAAGAATTTCTAATAGATTCCTGTATTCGGCAAACTTAGAATGAGACAGAATGCAATTTTTGCAATCATTCCAGGAATTACATATATTTCAAGCACAGCATGCCTGTAAGAGTGTATTCAGCTCAAAGTCATCACCCAAGGAATCTCCTCTATCCATTTTATCATAAATTACTGTCAGGAATTGCTGCAGCAAATCACCTGCAAAGATGCATTATCTTCAATTAGTGAGAAAGGTGTAGTATCAACAAAACATGAGCCTCAAATGACAATGATACCTGAGCCCAGCAAATAAATAGCACGTAACACACCAAGTTCATCCATTAACCTCCAATCACTCATTAGTTTCAGCAAAATATGCTTTCCAATGCGATCTATCTGTGATGCAAAAGCTATAAGATTCCTTACAGAAGTAAAAACAGAGTAGCAACAACAGCAACTAAGATTCCCCTTCCCCAAAATACTTTGGGGCTTAATGAAAGATGCTTAGTTTAAAATTTTAAAGACAAAAAATTAGGGACACTAGCCAAGCACTGCACCTGTTTCTTTGCATAAGTAGCCAAGCATTCTTTAATGACGACTGCAGGTTGTGGTGTATCTTTTAAGTTGATACTTTGCATCCAGTTAAGGATTCTTGATGCGAGGGTGCTATTCTTCTGGAAGGGAAGAAGCTCCGACATCGGGAGGTTTTCCTGGTACAAAGAGTATGAATCCAATAACTACCCCAATGACAACAAAATCTTAAAATATTATATATAATTGTCACACCTGAAAACAAGGTAGAAGAGTTGGGAAGGGATAAAGAGTTTCCAAAGTCTTTGTGTCATTCTTCAGTCGAAGGTATTTAACATCATCAAATTGAAATCCAGAGGTGAAGTCTGTTCCCTGGTATCTAGGGAGTATTAATCTATCTGGTATATCTGTATCTATGTTTCCTTGGGTTAGTGGTTCACCAAAAATAGCCTTCCGAAGATTTTCGTCATTCAGTGGAGGAAGGTGGAAGTTTCTAGATATGTTGAGTTCATTCCAATGGGCCTTGCCCTTTTGAAGAAACTCTTTGCATACACCAATGGCTGGATTTCTCGGACAGAAAGAACTAACAATGCTATCCTCCACACTAAAAGAACAATTGGTATTTCTCCTCTCTGATATTAAATCATTAAAGAACTTAAACCATGTTTTGTTGTTGACTGATGAAGTCTGTATATTATCTCCAATGCCTTTTAACATCTTCTGTTCATCTGTATAAGCTTGAAACATCTGACCGAGCTCAAGGGAGGATTTTCTAAGGTACTCATAAATATGATCTCCATCATCTAATAAGGCAACCAAGGATAGCAAGAAGACCTCGGATAAAGTTAAGACTCCCATTTCTCGGGCATGATTCATTTCCTGAGGATGAGAGAAAGATTCTCTGTTGCTATAGTTAGGCTTGGTACTTTCACCTTCAAATTTTGTATAGCTTATATTACTAGATTCAACTTCCTCTTTACTATGATGATGTGCAATGTCATAAAGCTCATGATTGCCATCCTTGTAAAATAAAGCAACATAGTCATCTCGAACATGTTGAACCAATTGCAATGATTTCCCAGCAGATATGATTGCCCTGGCCATATCCTTTAGGAAAATAGGACAGACTAGGATGTCTATATCACTTTGATGCCTCCCTGATACAGAAGTGGATTCCTGATTGCTAGTGTCTTTTTTAACTTGCACAGTAAATTCCGTACCACTAGGATTCAGCGATCTCCCACATCTTGACTTTCTCCATTTAGATTGCCTGAGAAGATAGCTTGTCTCCCAAAATGATGGTTGGTCAATCGACACTGTGTTGTTGCAATAAAAGAACATCTGCAGGAGGTATCATAGCATAAAAGAATTACGAAGAAAGCAACTGAAGATCAAGAACAAAAACAACTATGGAGGCCAGTAGTACATTGAGTAATGGAATATTACTGGATTTTATTCAAAAATGTTCTGACAGCAGTGATGCATACATTTTAAAGTACCAAGTGCAATGAAATGATATGGGAATTTGAATGTGACACATAATTCAATAATTGTTCTCCGTTTACTCTCTTCAATCCCATAACGCACTTGAGCACAATACTAAATATTGTACCCTATCAGACACCCGTATTCATGAATATTTCCAATATG